AAGGTAATTATGAATATTTCACATACTCACAATATATGGTTGGTGCAATTGTCTTACTTTCCTTTGCACTGACAGGGTTAGATACCAGACAGCTGTAGTTCCCAATGTCTTCTTTTACAACAGGAACAATTAGAACTGTTGCATTGTTTGATGAAAAGGTGTAATTAGGGCCAGCATGGAGAGGTTTCCCATTTTTCATCCACTGGTAAACTACCCTTGTACCTTTTTCCACAGTACATTTTAATGTAATATTCCCCACATGCTCCACTACCCCTGAGGATGGTTCTGTATGTACAATTGGTTTTGCGACTGGAACTGTAAAATAAAGAGATACGAAGAATTATAAAAGTGATGAGCCAGTATATTACTGTCTTCACTGCTAAGATGATACAAACAGCAGTCATCATCCCCTCTGGAAAGCACTTGGATTCCAAATTTTATTTATTAAATCTGGTTTAAGGTTGAAAAGAGATTCATATTCCCAGCTGTAAGAATCGTTCTAGTGTTTAAATAAAACTTGACTGTTTATATTACTGGTGATACAACAAAGGCTGCAGTCAGGTATACCATGGTCTCCAGCTTCTGCCTCCTAAGCAGATCCCTGTGGCCACAGAAATTAAGAGTGCAAAGCATGACAGTGCCCACAGTCTGACTCTTCCTCAGGATGGCTGCCTGCAGCTCTGCTGACACTGGTCACCACTGAGATATGCTGTTGATCCATTTGTGAGGATGGCTGCAAACTGCGACGAGCATGGGAGTTAAATAGCAGCTACAACTATGTCATATCAATTTGTCATTCATTTCATTACGTCAAGCCCAACAGTTACAGAGCTCCCTCCATATAACCCACACATTACAGTAGCCTCTTGTCATTCTTTTAGACCATTCTTTTCCATTTCCTTATTTTTTTTTCATTATCCCCACAACAGGGAGCAGAGTACAAAGAGGGAACTTCAGTATTTATGGGCTTCTTTTACAGACACAAGGTCACTGGCAAAAGTCAGTAACTCCTCTTTGACTGTTACAGAAGGTAAAGTTGTTCATGGAGAAAGACTATTTGAAAGTTAATGCAGCCCCATGATTGATATCACATCAAAGCCTTATGAAAAAAATATTTCTTAGAAATTTTTCTAATAGGATAGCAATTACCGCTTTCTATATTGCTTTTTTTTACCTACAATCCAGAAACATCAGTCATTACATTAATTTTGTTTAAAGATGACATATTGTAGGGTTCCCTGCAGCAGCAGTAGAAAAACAAAATAAATAACTTGTTAGTATTTATTCAAGTATGGTTGGATAAAATGACACAGTATTGTAACTGGATACTAAGAACTAATGCTTCAAGACTATTGCAATTTTAATTTCAAAGTGAAGATTGTATCTTTTACTAACTTACCGTCAACAGCTACGTGAATCTTCTGACTGGCAGCTATTGTCCCGTTTCCCCGGACATTGACTTTCACGATGTAATTGCCCTCATCACTGATGTGCAATGGATTAATCATCAAAGATGCATTTGGTGGTATGAGGGTAAACTTGTGCTGATATTCCAAGTCTGGAACTACTGTTTGATTTACTGAGCCAAGCAAGTATTTTGGATTACTTTGAGGCCTCTCAAAAAGCCAAATTATCTGGATTTCAGAAGCTGTAATGTTGAAATCATAGTCAACAGTAAGATGGAGCAGTTGTCCCTCGATACCATGGATGGTATGAGATGGTACTGTCAGCTTTAAGGCAGAACAAATACCTTCATAAAAAAGAAAGAGCAAAAAGTAAATAAACCCAAACCACAAATAGAAACACTGGAAAACTCAAATTGTGAGCAACTGTCACAGGGAAAAAACTTGTGAGTTAAAGCTCTTTTTGTGCAAGATTTCAGCAAGATTTCCAATCAGAAAGGGGCAAACTCTCATTGACCTCAGTGATGTTGAATCTAGCTATAGAGCTCCAGCTTTAAAATGTATGAAAACCCAAAAGATGGATATTTGCAGTTTCTGGGCAGAGGATCTTTCATTATTGAATGTCTGACACAAGGGCAAAGGTTTGCAACTACCTTAATATTTAATATATTTTCTGTTTAAAATATTTCCAAGTGTCAGATTGCAAAATCAAGTTTTAAGGTATTTTTTTTTCTGTCTTTAGCTGCAGAGAAATTTTTTACTATTTCTTTGTCAGTTATAATGAAAAACTGACTGAACACCCAACAAGCAGCACTTCCATGCATTTATCCAATTAAAATTATGTATAGCTATTATTGCTGTCTGCACTGTACACATAAGACTAAATTCAAGATACATTACTAAGCTTGCAAAGTTAAGTATTCCAATTTTAGGAAAGAGCAGAAGGTTTGCTATTGATATGCACAAACAAAATTTTCAGCCACATCATTAATCCTGTTCTCCAAAAATCCTGCCTCCATTAGATGGGCAGAAAAGGTCACTCCTGAGTTAATCATCAGCATTCCTGTGTTTAATTTTAGAGTGATTTTTCATTGTGCCAGCTTTAGACAGATTTATAGAACATTATTAAAATTTTGCTCTTAGGACTGAGTGATCGATTTCCACAGCACTGACAAATACAGCAATGGTGTGAAGCGTTGACATTAATGAATTGATTTCACAACACTACTACAGTTAATAAGACTTTAAAGATGCACATTTATGCACATAGAAAATGAACAGAAAAAATAGCCTCCCATTTTGGATGATCAGTTTGAAATACTAAGGGTTTTTCCTGGATTTTTCAAAATACACACAAACATAGTTTAGCATTTTCAAGATGCAACTCCTGTTGCCTTTAGTTGCAGGTTTGAGAACTCAGCTTTGAATGCTCAGTATTGCTGAAAAAAGCTCTGCAAACGCTAAGTCAAAACCCTAGGGGAAAAAAAAAGCAAGTTCGTATTAGTAATAACATGCAGTGCCTTCACCATGCACCATCTATTCCTTTCCTGCTACTGAACTTGACATGCTTCCCAATACCTGTAACAAAAAAGTAGCTCTCCTGCTGAAGTACATACACCCTCTACCTAGAAAGGGAGCCAGAGGGAGCTGTGTGTGAAGAATATATGACTGTGCTATTAAAGATTAATACAATGCAGAGGTAACTTTGGTTGTTGTATTTTCTACCTTCATAGCATTTGTCTTTATGAGAAAAATTATTGAAGATTCACTTGTGTCTAATTTCCAAGGTTATATAGCAGGCAAAGACAAAAATACCAATTCAGTAGTATAATATGGTATCTGTATGTCTTTTGGGTTAGAATCTTCAAATTTCACTGCATAGGTGTTTGCCACTTGAGCTAATAACAAAGAAAACTCTCACTGGGGATCAGGGTAGGGACACAAAAAGTGGGTGGGGATAACAGATCCTGCATGGCAATATGTAATGCCAGTAATTAATATTAGAGGTGCTCTGGAAGGGCATGAGAAGTAGCAGAGAGTGATGCCATGGGAGGGGACTGGCTCACGGGTAGCCAGCAATGTTGTCTGTGCTGCTGAACTTGCTGCACAAAACCATATCAAATAGACTAACTGTAGTTCAGGAAAAACTCCCTATTGCTAAGAAACCTCTGGTCATGTTTTGTCCATTCAGAAGCTTGTGAGTTTTATAGTCACTAAAAAGCCACCTACAAAGTCTACCAAAACAAGTAATTTTGTGACTGGCTTCACTTGTCAGGCAGCTGCTTAGGCAGCTGAGCAATGCTATAATGGAACTAGAGAAGTCAGCTGGCTGTGCTGACTGGCAAACCCACCTCCTCAGGGGCTAAAGGAGAAGTGAGCAGCTAACTTCAGGTTGCACGGGCACTGATAGGGAAAGGATGGTTGGGAGACAGCTGAGATGGGAAAAGAATGGGACAAAAAGGGAGGACTAGTGTAGGCAAAATATGGGGAGACTCAAGTGGAGAATGCACAGGAGAGAGATGCTTATATGCCTCACTTTTTCTAGATCACAAACCTGAAACAGCTGAAGCTCCTAAAATTGAAGCCTCTCCTACTGCTTTTTAATATTATTTGTGGACTGGTACTCTTGCACTTTTTAATGCTGCACAGCTCTTTAAGGACTTCCTAGACTCTGGTTAATGAGAGGTTAGTTTTGTTGGTTGTTGTGCCATTTCTTGGAGGCAAACCTTACAGTACAAATCAGTTTTAAAATACTGTTGTCCCTTTGAAAAAAAGACTGTAATTTCTCAGTAAACTCCTTCACAACATATTTAAGGTTGGAAATATAGTTCATATAACCCATTGAATAAATTTCAATTTTTAAATATTCTTGAAGCTAAAAACATCTGTCAAACACCATGAGATCTGTAAATGATCAATTAAAAGACCTGTCGATATCGTTCCTGATTCTGTAGTCATAAGTGTTCAATTTTTGAGTTTATTTAGCTGTCAATAGGTGATTGTGCTGTATGACAAGAAGCCAGTAACAGCTGCAGTATAATCATAAAATAGGCATAAAAAATATTATTTCTCAAAGATCTGTTTCTGCAGAAAAATAGCAAAAAACAAGGAAGTCTAGTGAGCACTAGTAAGAGAATTGTGGCTGGAAAACAATTTCTTATCAGTGAAAAAAAATGTGGGAATAGAAACTATAAATGAACTTTTTTTGACTCCATTCATGGGGAAAAACATCTCCATGTAACAGCTTGGAAAGACATTTTCATCTGCAGTTAAGGGCATTCTTTCAGCCAAGACTAGAGGTGGTGAGGGCAGAAACTCCATTTCCCCCTGGAGTCCATTCAGGAGTGGCTTTGCCCAACTGTGGTTTTGCTGCTCTCTCTGGGTCTGCCAGGGTGATTTTGTGGAGTGCCACCAGCACACATGAGGTCTTCTGTGGCCAGCAGGGCCAGGGGGAAAGGCAGGCTGAGGCTTGGGAAAGTTATTAAATAATGGTTCTCTGTCCAAGGCAAAGGTTTTACAGAAGCGATGGTGAGAGAGACTTCTGGCTTTAACAGATCGGATCTTCTGCAGTCTGGAATATTCTTCACCAAAAGGATTACCTTCTTCATCAAAAGGGTTATCAAGCACTGGAACAGGCTGCCCAGGGAAAAGGGTCAATCACAATCCATGGAGGTATTAGAGGATGTGCAGATGTGATGCTTAGTGACATGGTTTAGTAGTGGACTCAGTAGTGTTAGGTTAACAGTTGCACTTAATGATCTTAAGGGTCTTTTCCAACCTAAATGGTTCTATGATTCTCTCCTAATTCTGATTTTTAATCAAAACTGAAGAATGTTAGGACTAATGCTTGAATTAATAGTGAAATCAAGCCAGTGTGCCAAACTCTTGCTTCATTCTCGTCGGGCACAAATTCCATATAATTAAAGACTATCTCTGTAGCTTTCTAAATATGATACACAGTTTTTCAAGACAATGGAATTCCAAACCCTAGATTTTGTATAAAGTTTGTAAAGGTTGCACCAAAATGACCTCCATTTGGAGCTCAGTGATCTGTGCTTTGCTTCCATCTCATTTCGCTATCACTGTATTAGCAAGCACAACAGAATCATTGTTGACACAAAACAAGGGCTCCAGCTTTAGTTTAAATACAAATCTGTGACATAACTTTTCAGTTTATGGCATAAACTGAAACCTGCCTAGCAAGGTTTTATCATTCTCTGAATTTAACATGCACATCTCCTTGCCAAAGTGAATTTGGATTCTGGGCTGCTTTTCATCAGAGTATTCATTGAGTTCTTCTGCTCTCCAAAACCCCTGAATTTGGAGTAAAATGTCATTAGTTGAGCACCAATAGTTTTTACATTTTTGGCAAATATATTTATACATGACAAAAAAAAAAAAAAAAAAAAAAAAAAAAAAAAGGAGCTACAATGGACCAGGAAATCTGCAATTCCTATGCCCCACAGTTAGAGCAGCAGGGACTCAAGCATACTCTTCCGCTTTTGGGGATTTCTGCCCAAGAACAAGTGCTACTGAGCTTTATCATTTGACCCTAATTATTGCCTGTGAGCTCATGGTCTTCTGTGGGTGTTGTGTCATACCCCCAGTGCTCCTGATACTTGTAAGGACATAAGGTACCAGAGGCACGTTTGCTATTCGGGGACACACGTACCTCTGAGTAGGGGTATACAGGGAGACCTCCTGGTGAACAACTGTGTACAACACAGCACCCTGCTTGCATGCCGGTAGCTCTTGTAGGATTTTAAATAAAAAATGTTGAACAAAGTTGAAGCATAAATGAAGTTAATAGCCACCTTATTTTTTTTTTATCAGTGACTTCATTTTTAAAGAAGAAATCTGATAAACTTCATATAAAACTGCAACTATTACGAAGCCAAAACTCTTGGCAAAGTATTTAGCTTAAAATCAAGGAAACTAGGTGATGGGCTATGAAGTTCACAAAGGAGATAAAAGAAAAAGTGTCCTTAAACATGAATGAGTAGAGGATGCACTACATTTGTTATAGTATATATTCCCTCTGTTGATATTTACAAAACCAAATAAATAAAGAAAGAGTGAACCACAGGAGTTTTTAGAAATATATGTTTAACATTTGATAACAGGATATTCCTATCAAAGTGTGTAGAACAACTATTTTTTATCAATTACATAAAATTTTTCCCTATTGATTGTAAGGCATCATAATGAACTGAAACATAATGTAGCAGCATTGTCTCAACATAATGAATTTTTAAAGAGATGTCTAACAGCTTCTGTTTAAACTTTGACTCAGAATTTGTCCAGCCTTACTTGTTAAAAAGAATGCGCAATGTATATATTGCTTCATAAAATGTGGCAATACTTATGTAATTAATGCCCATGCTTTATTTACAAGATTATGTATAATGCTAATATTTACCAATTGCTAAAAGTTTTTAGCTCCACTCACAAAGCAGGGTGACACTATCTGATTAAAAGCTTTTAAGCTGCCTTCTTAAAACAAAACATCTGACAATACAATAGAAATATCTTTAAATTTAGAAGTATAAAGCTAATTCACATTTCCACAATGACAACTATAATTCATAGTTTCTTACCTACAAGAAGAAAATATATCTTGCACTGTAAGTCCCAAAAGAAGTTGGCTAAAGAGCTCCATGAAAGCATCCTGCCCCAAACAAATCCCACCTTCTTCTCAGTGGTAAGCCAGGGCTAGGACCTGCAGCTGCTGGTTTATTTGCTAGGGAAATCAGCAATGAGTTAACAGGCCCTATCCTGTCCCCTGCCTTATGTGATTTGAATATGTGTATACAAAGAACAAAGGGAGTGGAGCACCTGTTAGATGAGCACCTATCTTCATTGCCTCTGACTTTACCATAACCCTTCCCCAGCAGTCACAGCAAATATGACACAGAATGCAATAAATGAGGCGCAGAATACAAAGTACGCTCAATTAATAACAAGAAGTGAACGCACTCGATGTACAGTTTATAGAGGCATTAACATCCTTTAACTACAGTTTCATAACAAGCCCCATGCTGCTAGATGGTTTGGCTTATTTCAAAGCAGCATTCAGAATTCTTTTCCAGATCTTTTCCAGTAATAGCCTCTCGTGTTTAAAAAGAACAAACTAAGAGCAAGAGCCTCACTTATGCTTCTTTTCCTAGCACGTATGAGCTCTTAAATTTTCTGAATTTTTTTTCCTTAACACAAGCATAATTTGGTGCTCATTTTGTTCTCCTTCTCTAAACAGCACGTAATGTGAAGTGTCTATCATGCGTCTTCTAACAAAGAATCCTGGAGCTAGAGTGGACAGCTCACTACAGTTGTTGAGTTAGCTGCTGATTACTTTTTATTCTTACATTAACTTACATCAGTTTAATTGATATTAACATTAATGCATGATCTGCATTTTGTCCAAGGCTGTCACTCACTGTACAAATCTAATCAGCAGCAAACCATGCAACCTGCCCCAGCTGCATGTGCAGTAACAATTTGCAACAGCAAATATTTGCATCGACAGGGATGGTTTATCCACAGGAAAACAGACTATCCACTTCCATTCTATAGCACTTTCACCATACAGCTTTTACCCAGATTGTTATGCATCAACAAATACTAAGCTAGGCTGCATCCTTCCCTGTGCAGGAGGGACTGCTACCAAGGAACTGATGGGATACACCTGCGGGTACTGA